GAACGATCCGCTAGAAGCTCCTGGCTTGCTAGGTAGTACCCTATGATCGTGATAGGATGCTTGATAGAACTTTAGGATACTGATATCTGGACACCGACATCAGCATTGGACTGATTGCTGTCTCGTTGGAAAGGCGAAAATCATCGGAGTCAGCTACCCGAGTCGGCTGTAAATCGCGAAGGCTCGGGTACAAGTCGGTCGAACTCAGATTCTGAAGCTGACTTCGCCGGAAATGATCTCGCCAAGAGATTCGCGAGATTCGTCGAACAGGCTCGGCGATTCCATGGATATTCATTCGGTGACGCGGTCGATAATGGGACCAGCGACGATTTAACGCGTGAATTACTGCAATACACGCGTATTTACGAACGCGAATCTTCACGTTCGGAGGATTTAATCACGGGGGGAGGGGGGAAGATGATTCGGGCGTATCGTTACAAATTAATAAAATAATGTTATATTTCTCTTTTCTTTCTTTTACTCTTTTCTCTACTTTTTTTCTCTTATTACATTTATTATTTTTAATTATGTATATAAAATATAAAATTATCATATGATATAATAAGATAAAATTTAATATATTTTATTAAATATTTATTAAATATTTATTAATATTTAATATTAAATATTATTAAATATTTATTAACATAAAGAAAAGAATATATATCAATAATATATTAATAAAAATTACATTTTTTTAAATTTAAATAAATTTAGATAAATTACAAATTAATTATTATTAACTTTTATTACTAACTATTATTAACTAACTATAATTAACTTAATGCAGATTTATAAGATTGATATTGGTATTAAATTATAAATTAATTTTTTATTAACTTTTAAAATTAATAATTATTTTTTATGACATTCGTTTCTTGCATGTGTTTATAGATATTTATTATATATTTGACATAATTTATCACTAGTGTCTCTGAATTTTTTTAACAGGTATTCTCTATGTTCTGAATTGCCAATAAATTATTTTAAACTTTTATTATTTAAAAAAATTTTAAATATATTTTCTAAAACTCTGTGTTGTAATTTACTGTTGTGTATAGTATATGTTAAAATTTTGGAGAGATGCGATGCTTGCAAGAGTGTGTGAAAGATTAATATTCACATTATTTATAAAATATCCTTATATTCATCCTTATATTTATGCTGTTGGACTGCATTACAATACTACATAACATTATATAGATATATAATTATGTAGATAATTATGTAGATAGTTATGTATTAGCAATTTGTACCAGCAATTGTCTTTGCAATATTATAACATGCTTATTTTTATCTTTTTCATTTTTTAGATATATTTTTATTTTTGACCAAAGGTTGACAAAAAACGGAAGGAATATGCATTTCACCAAGTCAATCGATTGTTATCAAAGATCTCAGCAATTACAATATATTTTTTTATTAACTTTTTAAATTCTTAATATTTTCTGTATAATGATCAGAGTTTTATTACAATGGACAAGAAATCAGAAATGAAATCAGAAATGAAATTATTTTCACTTTTTGCGAACTAGTTCAATTGTTCGTTTTTTTCATCGTCGTTTTTTCATGGTCGTAGTTGTTAATGTCAGGTTTTCTTGTTTCTCGTCATTAAAGATTCACTCTATTGTCGATGTTCGTATATTGACATGACATTCGAACGATGAATTAAGAATTTGACGAGCTTCAAGAGTTGGCATTTCACGATAGTCATGCTCTTAAAATTGCTTGTTATTAGTAAATTATCCAGCAGTACAATCTGAGCTCAGCCCAAGTCGCTTTAATATATTGTGACGAGGAGGATCAACAATAGTAAATCATGAATCATCATTTTTTACTTATCAAAGCGAATGTCATAAAAACAAATTTCCAATTCTTCGATTTTATAAAATGATATTCCTATCAATTTTTCAGATATGTATAATGTCGCCAATTGTGCGCAGAATCAAAGTTGATGCTGGAGAAGCAAAGTTGATACTGGTAATGTCATTGGCAATTCACGCTATCGCCAAATCTTGTATTTATACATCGCCATTGACGCTGCAATTGTTATTGGAATATGCAGAATGGCGATCTTGGGATCAAGTGGTACTCTTCGATAATGTCAGTCCATTTAGTGAGTATCCTCATTTTTATTAAAAGATTTTTTAAAATTGAAAAAAAAGAAAATAATAATTTGAAAATTTATCACGAAATTTAGTTTTAGCAAAATAATTTAATAAATTTTTTATTTCATAAATTTTAATATATTATTTTACTAGTATGAACATCATAAAAAAGTTTCAGCGTAAAAAATTAATTTGGAACAGTTCCTTTTAAAAAATATATGTATCTATAATTGTCCTAATAAAATCCTTATTACATTTTTCAAAAGAATTTGTTAGAAAGACAGTAGTTATTGAAATTGATTTCAGTTAAATATCAGGACAGTAATTAATTGCAAATTAATGCAGATTGCGCTCTTAATTATGCTCGGCCATTAATTGAGTGTTTCGGTGAAAAGGGCATCAGTGTGTCTTTACAATCGGCAACAAATCCAAATATACCAGACGCTCTTACGATTCGAACCCATCGTATTGGCTCAATTGTCCTTTTGGACGGACTTAATTTAACATCACCTGATAATATTATTCAAATGGTATGATTTTAATAACTATCTATATAAATAAATTAAAAATTTTTTTAATATTAACTATTATAAATAATAAAAAAGCAACAGTTTAATTATTGATAAAAAAGCATTTTAAGTTTAGAAAACTAATAAACATTTTAATATTATTTTAATATTTCAAATATTTTTAATCATTTAAGTATCTTTAAAGGATATCATGTATAACGTTAGAATTAGTCTTATGGGACTTAATTCCCATTTGTATAGTGGACTTTAACAATGACTTACGCGAGGAAAATAATTTACCAGTCATAGATTGCATCTCCGCCTCGTCATTGTACAAGAAATTGAATTCAAATTGATCAATTTTTTCATTATACTAATTACTTTGCTTGTAACATTCATATAACATTTATAACATAACATTAATAAACATAAATAAATGCAATAATTTTGTTTTTGTTATTATTTTTCTTTTTTTTATTTAGATATAAAATGTTCTTATTTGACAAAAAATAAACATATATAATCTTTTTTTTTGTAACATGTAAAACATTGAAATTTATTCTTCTATTAAAATATCAAAGCAAAGAAAAATTATTTTTTTTTTAATAAATTTTGTTATAATATTTAATATTTTACTAATCAAGAGCTTTAAATTGAAATTAATATTATTATTTATTGATAGCTTTGAAATTTAATTTAGTTTTATGGATTCATAATTTACAAATTAATAATATTTATAAATTTTATAAATTTGCGATCTGCGAATAACTAATTGGGAATTTAGGAAAAATAATAACACGTATAATTTTTTTCAAAACTCCTCTCGACATATTCGTATTATCAGAATAAACATTTTGACAGGCCTCTCAGAAATTTTTGTTCAACTATTACATCTCTTGGCTTATGGTGACCACAAGAAAAAATGATTCCACTATCGATACCGTTCTTCGGGACTTAAATATCGGCATCGACAGTGATGTGGTCGTAGCTACTTCACCATTACTAAATGACACTGTCGCTTGGATGTACGCTCAGAAATATCGAGACAAGTAGGTTACTATATTTATTCATCTTTATGTACATGACATGATATGTTATTATAATATGTTATTATCAACAGACACGGGTGTCTCGACGCCAAGTTCACGCGCAGCGATAATATTTACATAAAGATTATTTGAATAATGTAAAGTAATGTAAAAACAACTTGTAAATATCATTATAATAAAATATCACATTTATTTTTTATATTGCATTAAAAGAACTACTTATCTGAACACGTATAAAATTTTTATTTGACTACGTCATCTTATTCACATATTTAAGTAATAGTAGTAGTAGTGAAATTTTTTACTTTAATTTGTCAAAAACTGAAAAAATACAGATATAAAATAAAAATATCAAACTGAAGGAATAAAAAAAGACAAAGTAGAAAAAAAGAAGAAATAAAATTATGAAATTTTTAATATTTTTCTTTCATTTTGAGATTACACTATTATGGCGATAGTGATGACGTTATAATAATGTCAAATGATCTTCTTTCCTTAGAATATGTCGGTCTCTTCGACGATACGGTGATCGTTTTGAATTTACTGGACCACCGGAACGACGTAACATCGAGAACGCCACGATGAACCTGAGCTATGTCACTGAGGAGAATCGCACGGTGTCATTCTACTTGGTGCATACCTACAAAATACGGCATTCCGACAATGCGAGTTTAATTGTTCGATATCTCGGTTTCTGGAATCCAGAATCTCATACTCTTAAACTGCCGATGAGCGTAAAATTGAGAAGTGATTTCAATGGCCTGCCCATTGTCTTCGGCGTGTTGAATGGAACCAGCGATGGACAGACGGACGCTGCCGAGGCCGAAGCCACCGCCAATGACATCGCACCACTTTTAGATTTTGCTACCATTGTCACGAGCAGTGTAAATGCCAGGTTGGAAAATATCAGTCTCTAACAAGAACTACAGATATCTTATTATTTCTTTATAATGACATATATCTATCATTTCGTAAAAATTTTTAAAAAAATTTTGTAATCAAATGATAATCTATTCAAAACAGATTTCTTCATTTTCGGAATTATTTTGGGAATTATATTTCTTAAAATAATTAAATATATAATAGAGAAAAATTAAAAATTAAAAAAATAATTCCAGAATTAAATGAATTTATATATAAAAAGATTATATTTCAAAATTAGAAATAAATACAATCTATTGTGAATTTTTATAGTATAGAATTGGTGCCCCATGAAAAACTCGGTACATTAACTAACAAGGTATGGAGCCATCTTCTTGGCGATGTTGTAGCTGGTACTGTTGACATTGGTTTAGGATATATAACAGCGAACGACGAGGAGCGTTGGTCAGAAATGACATTTAGTCACCCTTTGATACGTTACATGTTGGTAAAAGTTTTAAATAAAATCGGAGCAAATAAATTAATTTCAGTAAATTAATTTACATATTCTATTATATTTCAAATTTATGTTTAATTCCTTATAAAAATGTATTTTATTTATTATTCCTTATTAAAATGAGAAAATACTAACTTATAAATTACACATTATGTATAGCCAAGATTATTAGATTGGCATTAATTAACATAGATTATTGGACAAGGTTTGATCTCAGAAATGTAAAGACAATATTTTATTTTTTAAAGTTTGAAGATCTTTGAATCTTAGTTCGAATAGAAAAATAAAAAAATAAAACATATATAAATGTTTATAGTGAACAAGCACATAAAATTTTAATATTTAGAAAAAATATAATTTTATAAACATAATTAGATTTATACTCGTGAAAGTTAAAGTGAATAACCATGAAATAATATTCTATTCTGCAGGAGAAATATTTATTACCATCCGTTGGAGACCGGCACGATGAGAGATATATTTTTGCAACCATTTGATAACCGATTACTCGGCTGCGTCGCAGGAACATATCTCATTATGTTAATTGCAATGGCAACAGTTATCTATGCTACTAAAACGGTTTTGCACGATGAAGATGAAAAACATGTCGGGATTGGAGAATCTGCACTTTGGTGCTTGAGTATTATGTGCATGCAAGGTTTTCCCCCTTTTTTATTATCATTTTTTGTCTTTATTTTTTTGTCTCTTGTTCATTATAAAAAAATTAATTTTCAATAAGTTGTTATTGATCTGCGTTAGATTCTTTTTTTTAAAACAACAATTATTCAGATCAAGGATATGTTTATGTTAATTAGCATATAAATATATGTAGCATATAAAAAATTCATAATTAATCAAACAAATTATATCTTTAGGATCACCTTGGACACCTCGAAATCCATCTGGAAAAACTCTCTTGTTATTTAGTCTGATATTTTCCCTCGTCATATATAATGCTTATGCCGGCTTTATCACGTCCATTTTGTCGGTGCAAGCTACTGGAATTAAATCAATCACCGATCTTCTTTTTAATAACTTCAAATTAGGATACAGTGTTGCTGACGATACTTATATAAGAGTATAATATCATATATTATCATAATAATATCATATATTATCATACATTATATTACTTCTATTGTATTTTATATTAGTTTTTTTTATATTTTATAGCATTAAGTAAATTTACGTAATATCAAAATCACCGTGAAAACATTTGAAAATCTTTTCTCCCGGGTATCTCTTTTAATTAGGTTTAAAGGCTTATAATTATTTCGAACACAGTAATGCGTTATCATCTTTCAGAATGCGAATGACAGTAATCTCCGTCAGTTGTACATAAAGGCATTCAACAATCGTGAATCTCGTTTGGAGACAAGAACTGGCCTCATGAAAGCTGTCAAAGGAAGATACGGATTCTTCGTTAGCGCAACCCTCGCACGGCGAGCCCTTAGAACAACCTTCATACAGGAACGATGCATCTTGAAAGAATTGCTTCTTCCACAAACGCTTACAATCGTTGCTCTTCCTATGGCAAAAAGTTGCCCGTATAGAAAGATCATCAATCTCAAGTATGTGAACTTGTCGAACTTATGGCATGTCCATTGCTTGTTCAATATCTAGTATAAATAATAGATAATTAAAATTAATAAAAACAAAAGATAATGGACAGTTTTCTAATTCAAAGTTAGCTAAAATCGATTCATCAAAAAACAGATGTTAATACATTTCTTTAAAAATGTTTTAATATTTGTTAAATTCGCACCTCATCCGTATCATCATTTGTACTATTCTGTCTGCAGTATATTGCGTATATATGAACGAGGTGTTCTGGACAAGATACAGGAACGGATGCTGCCGACGATGCCGCGATGCGCGGCATCAGCGGCTTTCCACAGTGCGAGGTTCGCTGATGTTTACTCGGCCTTCTTCCTGCTAATGGCGGGCATAGTCATTGCAATCTCCATCGGCATCATCGAAAGGATATGGAACAAACGGAGGCAAATGCGGGAGACCATTGTGCGCGGTATACGCGAACACAACCTGATACCGCACCTTCACTTCCATCATCATCACGACGGTTCCAGTGACCGTCGTCCTCATCTCCACATCGCTGCTCCGACAGGCAAATTACGCGGCTACGATCCCGCTTATCTGACCATGCTGCAGAATCACGCTCGTCAAGTACAGTCGTTCGTTGGTTTCCAGGATCGTGATACTTCCCCGGAGAAACTAAAAAATCTGGAATCGCGTGTGCAGGTGCGACGAAGATCGATAGGTCCCAAAAGAGCGTCTTGGTCTTCTTTCTCGGGTTTGTCCAAGAAGAAAATAAGATCATCCGAGAGAATTCTGCCACCTTCGAATACAGAGAATATTCGAATCTTTCCATTTCACAATTAAACAGGTTTTTTTTTTTTAAGTGTGATATACTAGTCTCGCTTATTTAGTTACAAACATTTTTAATAACTGCGACGATATATCTAATGATAATTTGATTTTATTTTCAGGCAATCTTTCAGTTCATACATTATATTACGCATGCTTGCAAAATTTCAAATTATAAATATGATAAATGTTTGTTTCTATTCAAGCCGTAAAACTATTATATCAAATAACATGTCGAATATGTATATAATATTGTTTTATAGATACTTTCTTATATAATCAAAAGTACACATTAATTATATTCGGCTAAAAGCTTTACACGTGCACCAAAAATCTTCGTAGGTATTTGTCGCCTGTATATGTTGTCCATACCTCTGCAGTCTCGTAGACTGCTAATCTCATTTCTGCAGCAAATGCAGAAATTCTTTATTCATACCTCCCGTTATTCAATTTAATTGGATGTAAATTAGAAAAATAGAATAAAAGATAGAAAGTTAAAAAAATATTATACTGAGTATATACTGTTACCTGCAAAGGATATTTTCCAGATTAGGAATATGCTCATCATCCTCGCACCACTCTCTCCAATTCCTATACAACTGCAATTCTTGTATCTCATTAAGATACTCGTGACACATGTTTCTCAAGCTACAAGATTCTCATAATTAGTTACTGTCATTAACCATTACCGAGATCAATGAAATAACAATTTTAATTTAAGATGGAATTTAAAAAGCCACTTGATTTTCGTTCAATATTTTATCTTGTATAAAAATTAATTAATTTTTTCACTATTTTTTAGCTAAGTATAATATAAACTTTCCTATAAAAATCTTACTTTTTTTCCCACAATCCATCGGCAGATGAAATGACAAGTTTGTCACCCGGTAAAGGATCGGAAATAAATCTTTTGCCATCAATTTCTCGCAAACCATAACTATAAAAATCATTGCGCTAACAAGTAGGAACACTATATAAAATTACATAAATTACGGAAAAGCGATATATTTACTGTCGAAAAGATTGATCGCAGATAGTTCTTAAAAGAAGTACAGTCTCTGTTTCATTTAGCCAATCGTCAGGCGCCATCACGTCATGGATCTCCAGTAGAGTTTGATTAATCTGAAAAGAGATTATAGAATATAAATATATTTTCGCAAAAAAAAAAAAAATAAGAAATTTGTATAAAAATAACTTATAAAAATCCTTGGATATGAATTAAATAATGAATTATATTCAAACATAAATTTTTTTGACAAAAGACAAAAACGTAATATAAATGTAATATAAAATATATGAAATATGTACATTTTAATATATATATTTCATATATTTTTTTATGAGCAATCGTAGGAAATATAAAATTCTTGAGAGCCTACTTCCTCGGCGATAGCTACACACATGCCGCATCTGACACATGCGGATGACAGGTCCACGTGCATCGTGCCACATGTATCAGCAATGCAAGCCCTGTGTGGGATCACTCGCACTATTCCGAAGCCGTACGATCTGCAGTCACAATGAGGATCGATAGTGATGTTCGAGTCTGTCAGAGGATTATAGCGAATGGCGCTAGCACAAACGCATTCATCGTCGCTCTGATGAGTCCGTGTTCTGCCGCGTTTGCCGAAGCTGCAGCTGTCCGAAGTAAATGCAAACAATAGCAGAATCAGCAGCATCGTTTTAAAGAACATTTCCACGTCGTCTTCGAAGAAATGAGCATAATTATAACTTGGGATGAGCGACTAAACACGCTATAAATGAGAAAGCGAAACGAAAAAATAGGATCTAAATTTAAGCAATTGATAATTTTTAAATTGTCTTCTGTGCTGTAGATATCAAAGAGATCTCGAAAACAGATGAAGTATGAAAATATTTTATTTTTCGATAAGAAAAATATGCGTAAAAATGCATAAAAATTTATGCACAAAGTTTCTAATTATAAAAAATTTAATAATGATTTCGTCGGAACGTTGTTGCCATATTACGCAAACAAAATTTAAACATATTTAATTAGGTAATAAACAATTTGCTTTAAATTTAATTTAATAAAATCTAGCGTGGGACAATTATATGACAATTATTTCTTACGAAATAAATAATAAACATATCTCTTTTTTAAATATTTTTAATAATGTTATTTTTCTCTATATAGTTTATATTTATATATAATTATATATAATATTATATATAATTAATCAATTTCTTATGGCTGAAAGCTTATTTTTTAAATTACTTATTGTAAATTAAATCTAAAGTCTTTTGTGTCCACAATGTTAGAAATCAATTCGAAATCTCAAATAGAAAAATCTATTATAATAATAGCCTAGAGATATTTATAAACATCAATTTTTGATCGCAATAATATTCTAAGAACGATAATATTCGCGTATATTAAAATAATATAAGAATGTTATGTGACATGGACATAACATCAATCGAATATCTTCATGAAAAAATATATAATTAAAAAATATTAAATAAAATATTAAATTCTAAACATAATAATAATTTATAAACATATATTAACAACATTATAAATTAATATTATAAAAAGATCCCAGACATACGAACATCAATTTTTGATCACAATAATATTCTGAGGACCTTTTCATAATATTCCGCTAATTAGCACGGACACATACCAAAATGATATTTTATCGGCAATGTCAGAAGATAGAAGTGGCTACTTAATTCAAATATGAAACTTGGAGATGCTAGTGAGTTTTGACGATTCCACGAAAAAGACTAGGATGGCCGCTCTTAGGTTTCTCTCTGATACAAAGCTTTGAAGTACAGTGGCCGCAGTGCAGCCAATAAAATTCGTAAAGGTGAGCGATTCTCAGCTCCAGGTTGTACAAATTCTCCGGGTTTGGTGAAAAGGTTATCCTGACGCAACTACGATGCTGGCACGGCGGTTTCTGTGCGGGAGGCGATTGTGGCACGCCTCGTGCGTCTGCACGCCCGTTCGGCACGCGCAAAGTCAACACATCGATCAGGTTGCGGTGGATACGATTAACCTCGAAACCCGGCTACCGGAACACATCAGAAAGCAATCTCAACGGCAGCCGTTTGCCAAGAATCTCTTCCTCGCAACGTTTGATCACGAATTCATGTACTTTCCCGAACCGCAGACAAAGGTCAGGCATCAGAGTTTCTTCGAATGGCTTCAGCCCATCGAGAAATATGTGTCAGAGTGTATAGAGGATCCGGAAGGCGTCCGGAAAGAGGACGTTTTGACTCACTTGAGGGAGCTGGGCGTTTTTCGGGCTTGCGTGGAAGAAAAGTATCTTGGTCTAGGTCTCAATCACACGGAATCGGCTAAGCTTATAGAGGTGCTCAGTTGTCTCCCCTGGCTCGGATGCTACATGGTTAAGAATCACATCATGCCAATTCATATCATCTCCATGTTGGCCTCGGAAGAACAGAAAGCCAAGTATCTGCCTAAGATTGCGATCGGAGAAATCATTCCCACGATATGCTACACCGAACCTGAAAATGGAGTAAACACACATAATATCAATTGTATAGCTTCTTCGTTGACCTCCGATGTATATTGGGACCTCAACGGTACGAAATCGTTTGTAGCCAACGGGCATGACGCTAATCTCTTTCTCGTCTTCTCGCGCTGTGGCCATCCCGACGCGATCAGCAGTGCGCAGAGTCTACTCTCTATATTTTTGGTAGAGCGAGACTTTGGTGGTATCACAAGTGAGGGTGCTAAGAATATGGTCGGACTCCAGAATAGTCCTGTCTGTACTGTTACTTTTAAGGATACCAAAATTCCAAAGGAAAATCTCTTAGGCAATCTACAATCTGGAACAAACGTACTAATAGACTTTCTTGCTCCTGGAAATAGAAATATTGCTCCACAAGCAGTTGGTATCCTGAAGACATTTGTCAAGTTATTGACAAGGCATATACTGCAGCGGAAGCATCTGGACAAGAATATGTATGAGTACGAGAGTGTTAAAGAGGTGATAGGTAAAATAGCAAGTACTCTCTATGGTATGGAAAGTATGTTGTACTATACAACTGGCATAATGGATGGGTTTGAGAATCAGGATTGTGAACTTGAAAAAGCTATGATGGAGATGTACTGCGCTAGCGAGAGCGTTACTCGTATTTATGAGGGACTGCAACTCGTTGGAGCTAACAGTTACCTGAGGGAGAATCCTTTCATACAGCTCTTCGAAGATGCATTATCGCATACATTGTTTGATAGTTGTAATATCGATACTAACACATACATAGCTCTAATTGGTTTACGACATATGGGTCAAAATATGAGTCGTCATATATTCAAACTACGGAATCCATTTAATTTTCCTGGGTACATATTAAAGTGGATGGCGGGTAAGGAATATCGAATAGATCTTAGAATCGCTGACCATCTACATCCATCTTTAGTATTAGGTGGCAAAGAATTGGAAAAATGTATCACCAAGTTACAGAACACCTCGATGCTGATACTAGATCGTCACGGCACGGAAGTGGTTAATCAACAAATGGAACTACGTCGAATTGGCGAATTAGCAACAAGAACGTTTGCGCTAATAGCTGTCCTTTCGCGCGCTTCTAGGGCATATTGCATCGGTTTGAGAAATAACGATTATGACCGACATATGGCCAACAGTTTCGCCGTTTCCTCTATAGATAAAGTTCAAATACTCGTCGACGAACTAATCTCAGGAGAGTGGAACAACGGTGACAAGTTCAATAAAGACATTGCCGATCTCATGTTCAGCAAAAA